GTAATATTTCTCAGTTACTGTTAGAGAAGAACCCTCTCTCCCATGGTCAAGATTCTGATAAGCCCCTTTCAGGAGAGCACGACCCTTGGCCCCATCCTGGGGTTGAGAATCACTGCTGTAAAAGCACTCTGATGATGTCTGCTGAATGAAGAAATAAATCCAATCGCTGCTGATTTTGTTTAAAAATGGGAATCCCCTCAAATGTCAAAGGATTTGTTAAATACAATAAGAACAGTCAGAATGGTAACAGCAACAACGGTAACAAGAGCTAACTACATACAGGAGAGGCTCGTGTGTTTACGTTTCATCATTTCATTGACTACGAAGTTAACACATGGCTGCAGCAGGAAAAGTGATTGCCCACAGCTTCCCGAGGAGGAGGAGGAACGTATCTGGCAGAGCGGTTACTTCTCAGGGGAGCCGCTTGAGGTGGCTGGTTCACCAGCCTAGAAACAAGGACTGAAGTGCTCTGGATAGTATCAGGGTTCCAGGACAACATGGAAAGGAAGGATAGACGGAGCCACAGTGAGGGAGGCTGTGACGGGGACGAAGGGCACTGGCATGTCTCTTGTCTGTGCAGGGGGAATTGAGACTTCCAGAACAGGTCTTTAACTTGTGTGGGGCCGTGAGGCACGACTGTTTGCTCTCACCCCAAATCTTTAGCATGACTTGAACACGAGGCAGAAGAAAAGCTTCCCAGGGCACCTGGGTGGCTCGGTCGGTTAAGCGTCTGACTCTTGACTTAACCTCAGGTCATGACCTTGTGATCGGGCCCTGAGCTGACAGTGTGGAGCCTGCGCGGGATTTTCTCTTTCCGTCTCCATCTGCCTCTCCCTCCACTCGTTTGTGTGTGCCTCTCTCTCGCTTGAAATGAACAAATAATCATTTAAAAAAATGTTAAAAGAGTTTCCCACCTGGGTTAATCCCATATGGGGCGGAGACTGCCCACACAGAACTAAAAGTGCAGAGGTGGCCGTGAGAATGGCAGGAGTCAAGGAAAGACTGTGTGGGGCTCTGGTCTCCACGGGGCGTGAAGGGGGTTTGGGGCAACGGTACGTAGCTCTCAATGGTATGAGAGGCCTCACGACGGCAGCAGACATCTGAGAAAGGGTCCTTGTCTCCATTTGGCAGATGAAGACACTGACTCACCCAAGGTCACACAGCTGGTGGACACAGGGACCACAGTCAAACCCGGGACTCACGCACGGGCCACCACACCACAGAGCCACTGCCCACCCCGTGTGGCACTAGGCCTTCCAGGCCAGAGCAAAAGAGAAGGTCTCAAGTCCCAGTCCGCGGACGCACTGCACATAAAAGCGTAAAAGCAATGTAAGAGAGTGCAGAGAAGAAAGTGCTGTGTGTGTGAACGAGGCGGAGCCGAGGCCTTTAAAAACTTTGAGGGAAGCAGGAACAGCTTTGTGGGCCGCCCACGTGAATGAGATCAAGAACAGGGAGAGTTCTGGTGTTTAGGGCAGATGCCATAATGACAGGCGCAAGACCGCGGGCAGGCCTGGAGAGACTACAACCCCCCTGTGCGCTCTGGCAAGAACATGCCAGCGAGAGAGGGCAGTACGTGCCCCCCCCAGGAGGGGACAGTGCCTCGCTGCTGTGACATACTGAGCCTCAGATGCCCTCCTGTACCTGCTGGGGCCATAAAAGGGTCAGGACAGGTGCCAGGGGATTGGGAAGGGTCCCCACGAGAGGAGAAGAAGTTCCTGAACCAAGGACAAAAAGCTTGGATGGCAATCTTAAGCACAATTCCCCAATTCCCCAAAGAAAAAACACACAGTGAGGATTAGATTATAGCCTGGTCCCCAAGACATGCCAACTAATCTCAGAGGTTCTCAGGCTTCTTGTTCTCAGTACCCCCACAGACTCAGTAATGACTTTCACGGCACTCCTAGGTCAAAAGAAATACCTACAGTGCCATCTACGAGGTAGCGAGGGTCCTATAGCCACTTGGTAAGTATTTATGTGCTAAGAGCTTCGTATTTTAAAAATACACGCCCGTTGAAACAAAAACTGAGTTTTGTTTTTAAAACCCAGCGTAGTGGCATCCTCGAAAGGAGCGTTGAAATCGTGAGCTCGAGCTGGTGCTCCACATGGTGTCCAAAGGATCTCACTGTGCTCTTCTCAAAAACTGAAAATGCCCTGTGACAACCCAGGGTCACCCCAGCAGAGCGCCTGTGACCTGCAGACACATGGAGCGGCAATCCCAGACTACAAGTGATGGGAGTGCTATGGTCCAGGGCTGACCTCACGGACACGCGGGGCCAGGGCAGGGTGCTGCGTTTTCAGTTAGACTGCCCCAAACTGGACGAGGCCCAGGGGATGGGCGGCTGGAAGCCACTTCCCCAAGGAGTAGCTGGGGGGAGGGGAAGGATGCTACCTGTGGCACAGAGAAGACCAGAAAGCAAACGAGAGTTGTCCGCACATCTCAGAACATTTGGAGATTCCACTTAGAGTGGCTGTTCAAGGACCAGAGAGTAGAAGTTACACAGAAGTAAATCAGGTTAAGGTGAGGAAGAACGTCCCATCACTGGGAAGAGTAAAGCAATACAATGGCTGGCTTTGCAAGGCTCCGGGCCTTCCACCTGAGGCAAGGTCAGGTGTATTGTCGGAGGCCTCCCACCCCAGATGGAGGCGTTTAGCTAAGTAATCCCCACAAGTTCCCTTCATTTCTAAGAGGCTCTGCTATCAAGTGCAATAAGAATTTAAACAGCCACATCCGTTTGCAAATCACTACTTGAGGGTAAAGAATGGCAACTGCGAGCATTAACATCAAGGTCAAAACAATATCAAAGAGCAGCGAGGAATATGTATCTCTGAAAACTAAGGTTCAATTTACAAAAAATGTGACTTAGGCTCTTTTCTAAAAATGTCTTTTGTCCAAAAAGAAAAAAAAAAAGGGAGGGGCGCCTGGGTGGCTCCATCTGTTGAGCGTCTGACTCTCCCGTCCCAAGTCATGGTCTTGCAGTTCATGGGTTCGAGCCCTGGGTTGGGCTCTGCGCTGACAGCGCGGGGCCTGCTTGGGATCCTCTCTCTCCCTCTCTCTCTGCTCCTCTCCTACTTGTGCTCTCTCTCAAAATAAATAAACTTTAAAAAAAAAAAGAAAAACAAAAAGGAAAAGAAAGAGAGGCACACGAAGACCGTAAGAGTCTCTTCTGAAGGAGCACAGTATCATTGCGGGTTCCGGCAGACATTTCTGGAGCGTTCACTACAGACCAGGGATATGGGCAGCACCTTCCCTCATTTCCTGACACTCTGGCCACCGTACCTGACCCTTTCTGAGACTCTCATGTCTCTCGGGTCCGGGACACCACGCTGATGGTTTCCTTCCTCTGATGAGTCCTCTCCTCATGCTGGCCCTCTTAACAACAGGCCCCTTGGTTGTCTGACTCCACCCGGTTCCCTGACCACCCTGTCCGTGGCCATGGATGCAGTCAGATTTGGGCGCTGTCCACGTGCAGTGTCTCTCTCCAGCCCCACTGTCCGATGGCCTCGAGGAGTGGCGGACACCGCACACCTGTGCCGCCTGTTCAAAGCTGACCTCCTCTAGCCCGCGTCCCTTCCCCAGGGAGTGACTCCCCCAAGCACCCAGGAGCCCAAGCCAGAAGCCCGCCCACCACCTGAATCCCTCCTTTCCTTCTCTGAATGTCTTTGTTCTGATCCTATCGTCTCTCCACTCCCATAACACTTCTGCCTCTAGCTGGTCTTCTGCCCCATGGCCAGAAGGAACCTTCTAAAGCGTAGCTCTGACCAGGGGCCCCCGAAGCTGATAACGCTCCAATGGCTCTGGCCAAAATCCAAGCTCCTGCCCTTGGTCTGCAGGGTCCTTCCAGCTCCAACCCCTACAAACCCGTTCAGCTTCCTGGCTCTCCTTCATATCCTCCGCAGCCAGTCCGTATGTCGGGCCCTCCATTAGCACCGTATTCTCAACCCCCCGGGCCTTTAACCACTGGAAGCTTCTCCTGACCCCCTTCCCCCTATTGCCGGCTGGGCCTGGCCCCCGTGTCTGGGCTCCCCCAGCATCCATCCCTGTGACATACCCCTCACCTGCTAGAACTGCCAGTGCATACTTTCTTCAGTTTCTGTACTTGGCTTAATACCTGATGTAGACGGAGACCCACTGTCCGTGCACATTTGCGGAGTGAACGAGCTCGTTTCTTTCTCTCCAACTGCTACAGCAAAGGGGGCGAGTCGGGTGCCATGCGGCGGGGCACAAAGATGCACAGGGTCCCGGCTCTGAGAGCAACTCACGTTTTTGTGGGGAACGACATGAGGGACGTACTGCAGGATCAGCTGTGCCCGTCTTCTGTCCTTGTCCAGTTCTTGGAAGAGCACGCTAGGTTTGAGGTCCCTTCGGAAGAAAGGCATGGGTTTGGGGTTATCATAGGACAGCAGCTCTCTAGCGCAGGGGCGGCCAGCTCCAACTTGCTGCCCTTTTTGTAAGCAAGGTTTCGGCGGAACACGGCCATATCCGTCCACCGCGTACTGTCACTGGCCGCTTTCCCGCCACAATGGCAGACTGGGGCTCTTGCAAAGGGGAGCCTCTGGCTGCAAAGCCTAAAATACCTAGTCTCTGCTCCGCCAGACCCCACTCTAGTGCCACAACATAAGAGCCGACATGTCATTTATAAAAAATGGCAGCCATCTTGGGACACCTGGGTGGCTTCATCGGTTAAACTCGATCTCGGCTCAGGTCACGATCTCACGGTTCATGAGTTCGAACCTTGAGACAGGCTATGTGCTTACAGCACAGAGCCTGCTTGGGATCCTGCCTCGCCCTCTCTTTGCCCCTCCCCCGCTTGCTCTCTCTCTTAAAATACACAAACTAAAAAAAAAAACCAAACCAAAACAAAACTGCAGACATCTTACACTTAGTTGTTGTAAGTGGATCTCCCCACCCTACCCCCAAAAGGCCAGCTATAGTTTTCATCCTGCTCATTCTGTTGATAAAAACCACCACTGAACTCTCATAACCTGCTGCTCAGTTCAGCTACAAGAAGTTTCTTCCCATTTGCTAACTATGCCCTGGCTTTGTCACCATTACTGAGCCCTGACCACCCTCAGGGTGAGCACATCCTCACAGGCACCAACCGCTGGGCGGTCTGTCCTCCCAGGGGGACAGAGGATGAGGGAGCGATGAAGACCCCTTGGCCCCAGAGTGCGAGCCTGGCCCCCCACAAACCCGCTCGCCCGGCCCCGCTCCTCACTTTCGCAGCCAGTGGTCCTCGGGGGCAAAGCGCCGCCGGCAGTCCCTCTCGTACAGCACCATCAGCCAGCCGTGGACAGAATGGAACAGCTCCAAGGTGTCCCCCTTGGCGTTCTCTGTGGGTCAAAGAAATGGGAGAGCTGCAAACACGGAGCTGGTCAGGGCTGGCGAGGAGCCAGGAGGATGGCGTCTTGTCTCTGCCGGTCACCAGCCCCCACCAAGGTCTCTGTCTCCCTCACTCTATAGAGTCCACGTGGAATCGACAGAATAAAAGGCGCCCTGGGTACGTTCTGTTTGCAGGACCCTAGCGTCTCAGACACAATCACCACTGTCTGCCTCCCACTAGCAGCTGATCCAAAGGACCTTTTAATCTAAGGAGCTTTGTACCAAGCAAACTGGAAGCACTTCAGGAGGTGAGCTCTGATTTGGAGCGTGCCCTGACACATGTTCTCTTTTCACGGAAATCAACTCAAAGAAGCAAAGGGAGATCCGGGGCAAAATCATCATCGTTAATAATCCTTCACACCTACACGTACTTCCTGAAGGGAGATGTAAAACTTCCATATCTGCACCTACTATCTTAAGAGGCCGCAGACAGGAGAAGTACAACTTCCAATCACGTGAATAAACGTGCCTGTGCAATTGGTTGTGATGGGCGATAAAGCTAGGCATCAGTTGATGTTCCAGACCGTGGCCTCCCCGCGTGCAGCACGACGGCTGGCATCTTCGCCTTACCTACGATCCCATCCCAGATCATCTTAAACACAAAGGAGTTCAGGAAAGAGGAGATGGTGACCAGCTCTTCCAGTTTGAATGAAATTTGTTCTTCGTAAACTTCGATGTCGTCAAGGATCCTAAATCAGATGGAAAATTATTCACAACTTCCCACGGAGGAAAGGGCGGGGAACGACGAGATGTGTACCTCTTACTAGACGAATAGAAGCTCACGAAGTAAACTCTGATGGGTAGGATGTGCTTCAGGAGAATCCGGAGGGGAGAGCAGCTGGGGACAGAGGTGAAGCAAAAGCGACCACGTGCAGATGAGTGTGGAAGCTGGTAATGGGCATTTGAGGGATCCTTCTACTCTTCTCTCCGCTTTCTATTAATTTGAAACTGTCCATAGTGAAAAATTTAAAACCACAACGGAGAGAGGAAAACAACAATAAGCTTCCCTCTGTATTCTCCTTATTCATAAGGATCTGACTGTGACACCTTCTCCATCCATGCCTATCCATGCCTATCAAGAAATCTTGACAGAGAGTGTGTGCCCACTGAGAAAAGCTGTAGAATCTTTCCCTGCATCTGCAGCAGCCACTAGTGACCGTTAGTAGGTACCTGAGAAGTGTTTATAAGGGAATGAATGAACTAATGTTTGCAAGAATGTGTGAATAAATGAACTGTTTAAGATACAGCTCTACCTGAAAATCTCCTAAGTCTGCTCCGTTCACCTTAGGGCATGACTCGTTCTTGGGTCGTCCTAGACCCAGCCCTTCAGGGTGTCTTACCCTTGCCCTGGCCTCCAACTGCTCACGGAGCACCTCTCTCCGTGGTTCTTACCCAATCTGTCACCTTGTGTCCCTGATCCCCCTCCCACCCAATGTCTTTTACCATGAACATAACTGCCTGATGGGGTCCATTCTCATAATTCTTTACCAACCTTTGGAAAAAGTGGAATTAAAAGAATACCAAACACACAAGTAGACACATAGGCTGAAAAAAAAAAGCACTGACTGGGACTCACATCTATTAATTCCCCACTCTGAGCCAGGCACTGCACTGAGAACTTGACTTTCCTTTTCTCACGTACTCCCTATCGGATGGCTGATAACCATTACTACTCTTTGAAGGAGGAAGCTCAGAGTGGTTAAGCAACTCGCCTAGGGTTAGTCGATAACCATGACAAGAACGGCAGCCCGCAGCCCTTCCTAAGTGTCTGGACTGTGCTAAGCACTTTGTGTGCTTTATCTCCTGCAATCCTTACCACAGAGCCCAGAGACACGTGCTACTGTTGTTCCCGCTCGTAGGTGAGGAAGCAAAGGCTCGGAAAGGTGGAGCCCCCTTGCCCGGGGTGTCTCAGGAAGTGGCCCACCCAGGATTTGCGTCCTGGCACTCTGGCTATGGAACTTTCCAGGTAACTACTAACCTAGCGAGGAAATGGTGGAGCAGTGATTTGAACCCAGCTCTGGGAGAATCCCAGAGCCCACACTCAGTGGGACTGAACCAGCTCCCCTGGAAGGATGGAACTAAGAACTGCTGAACCCCAACTATGTGCCACCTACTTTGAAAATGTTTTCTCGGGGCGCCTGGGTGGCGCAGTCGGTTAAGCTCCGACTTCAGCCAGGTCACGATCTCGCGGTTCGTGAGTTCGAGCCCCGCGTCGGGCTCTGGGCTGATGGCTCAGAGCCTGGAGCCTGTTTCCGATTCTGTGTCTCCCTCTCTCTCTGCCCCTCCCCCGTTCATGCTCTGTCTCTCTCTGTCCCAAAAATAAATTAAAAAAAAAAATGTTGAAAAAAAAAAATTTAAAAAAAGAAAATGTTTTCTCATCTAATTTTCCTAATGACCCTGCCACACGGGTCCAGAGGATGGCGGCAATCACATCAGCAACTGCTTCCTTCCTGACACTGTCATTGGGCTTCTCCACATTCTGGAGAGGAACTCGGCCCCACAGCAGTCAACCTACGTGACGAGGTGCCGGGAGCAGTCACAGAACAGCGTCAGCATGGCCAAGAGCTGCTTGGACTCTTCGGTGTCATTGTTGAGGCACTCCGAGAAGAGCTTTAACCCTCCGTGGGGCCCCAGCTCACAGATAAACGCCCACAGTTTGGGGAGCAGGTCATCAAGGTAAGTGAGTCCTGGAAAAGGACAGAGAAACCCAAGCTTCAGGTGGGGGCACCATCTGGGTCACGGTTTCTCCTATCCGCTGGGGGAACAAAACACTCCTATTAGTGGACACTTAATGGGTGTGAAAAAAGGTGCAATTACTAAGAAAATCATTATCACCACCGAGAGTGATGATGGCAATAACAGCTACCGTTTAGTGGGTGCTTTCTATGTTCCAGATGTCATTCTAAGTACTCTGCATGCATTATCACCTTTCTACCTTGTGAAACCTAACGTTACCTCCATCTTATAAGGGAAGAAACTGAAGCCTGGAGAGGTTGAGTAATTAGCTCCAAATCACTCAGTCCAATAAGGAGCAGAGCCAAGAAGAGGAACCCAGGTCTGTCTGACTCAGCGTTTATATTTTAAATCAGGGGTCAGCAAGTTTTTTCTGGAAAGGCCTAGAGAGTCAGTACTTTCGGGCTTTGTGGGCCTGGCCTAACACCCTGTCACACTACTGAATGCTACCAGCATAGCACAAAAGCAGCCACAGACAAGATGTAAATGAACGGATGGGGCTGTGTTCCAGTAAAACTTTATTTACAAAACCAAGTGGTGGGCCGCATTTGGCCCCTTTGCTGACCCCTGCTTTAAACCATCGTTCTGGCTCACCTACAATTTAGCAAAGCTTTCCTCTTTTCTACTATTCTACCTTTGTTAAAAATCGGAAAGCAATGAACGACTGTAGCAGAGATCCCGTGAAGTGTCACACAAACATTTAACCCTGGGTGGAGAAGACATTTTAGGAACGCTTCCTGATGGCATTTTAGGAATGCTTCCCGATGGCTCCAAGGCCTCGGACACACAGGCTACATCACTGTCACATTTTAAGTCTATTAGTACAGCTACTGACTCAGAGAGTCTGGCTCTGAAAGTCCATGTGTCCCTGAATCTACAGTAGGGCATGTACCTCAAATTATTCCTCATTTTTCACTTTCTGCCGGAGTCCTTATAACCCCCCTCATTTTACAGGGCACTCTGAATTACTCGGTTCTGGACAAAGAACTGCTTCGGGAAGTTATATCTGCCTGGAGGAGGAGGATGACAGACTCAATCAGTGCTGCTCTGTGCTTAGACCAGGGTGGCCTGAAGGAACCAGAGAGGAGTGGCCACTTACTACTCCTGAAGGCTGGAGCTCACATTTTCCAAGGGGCAGGACGAGATTACGGAACGCAGACCCCTCAGAATTTAAGAGGAGGTGGAGACAGAGACGGAGTGAGCAGCCGCACTGCGGAGACCACAAATACACTCCCACGGGACGAGAAGGGAAGAGCAACTGCTCTCACATCATGTGAATGGTCCTCACGGCGGGGACGAACATGCTCGTTCCCGGCCTCGGACGCGGCTTCAACAAGGGCTGCGTCCGGCGCGACTCCAACGGCAATGAAGACGCAGGGCCCTGGGGAGCCGGGCCACAGGGCAGCACGTGGCACGCGAGGAGCGGGAGCAAAGCGCGTGGTCTCCCACACTCTGCTTTGCGTGTCGCTAAACAAACAGACCCAATACTCTACCGATGCTTCACGCTAGTTTATCTCCTTCTTAAAAGGATACGTTTTCAAGTCAGCCAAGAGAACTTCTGGGTTCTCTCACCGGGACGAGGAGGATGCCTGAATTTGTGGTTGCCTCAAAAAGCTGAACGCGGGCCCATCACCTCAAAATCCCGTCACTCGATACGCTTCTCAAACCCTCACACTGGGTGCTGGGGCTCTGGGCTTGGTCCGGGCCCCTTTTCGTCTGCTTTTACCCTCCCCCGAGGGAACCTGCCCCAGGCCCAGGGCTTTACACAGCACGCCTCTGCTCACGCCCCCGCGCGGTCCACTCGCGTGCTTGCCTGGCACCTCGCTCTCCTCACAGCCAGGCAAGACTCTGTTCCCCCAGCCTCCCTCCCAGCGGGCTTCTCCAGCTCTGCAAATGCACCACCATCCACAGGCTGTGGGGGCCAACAACCCGGCCTCATCTTGGAAGCCTCTAGCTTTCACTCCCCCAAATCCAACTGTACCGTAGGACCTGCAGACACGACTTCTAAAACACGCCCAGGTGCCCCTGCTTTCAACCCCGCCACCACGCCAGGCCTGTGCTGTCCAAGCGGGGACCGCGCTGCCCCTGAGGAGGCCTCTGGGAGTGTCTGGAGACGGGCAGCGTTGGCACGAACGGGGAGGGGAAGCGCCACGGGCATCTGTGATGGCTGGGCCGCTCAACATCCTACAAAGGACAAGACGGCTTCCACCGCCAAGAACTGTCGGGCCCAAAACACCAGCAGTGCTGCGGCCGGGAAACCCTGCTCCAGTCCAAGCCCATGCTGTCTCATGACATCCGTGGTCACAGTACCCGTCATGACAGGCACTACATTCTTCCCGTGCCTACAGCTCATCTCCTCATTCTTAGAATCCCTCGGGGAAGAGACCCCGGCTGTCTTAGTCACCTCTTTATCCTCAGCCTGGCACACATAGGTGCTCTATCAATACGTGAAGATGAGTAAGTGTGAAAGAGAGAGGCAGTGGCAATTTATGATGTAAAAAAAGGTACAATGAAACAGAAAAGTTCCATATCCTTTACGTAGTCAACGGCTTTACTGCTCACAGACTTCCTGTCCTCGTAAGACCAATTCCTACGAGCAAGTCCTGCGAGGCAGTGGAAGGCCCCCAGTACCCACACTCTTGTGTTCACAGGGGCGGGGTGAGGGGGGCGGGGCGCAGAACTTTCTTCCTTGCTCAGCTAAGAAGGAAAATGCTGGGCAGAGACCCATGTGATGAAGATATTATGCGGCCGATAAAAATGACACTTTGGAAGAACCGCTGACCGGGATAAAATGCTTCTAAAATGATTAATGGAAAGGGCACAACTACGTATTTCAGTCTAAATATATACATACATGTAGCACACTCAGGCACAGGTGGTTATCTTTGGAAAATGGGATTAAATATGGTCTAGGTTTTCTTTCTTTTCTTTTCTTTTTTTTTTTCTAGTTTTCTATTCAGAAAAACAGTAACTTTTGAAAGCAAATGGCGCTCCGTAATGAAAACAAGAGCCAGGTCACAGGAGCAAGCTGGCCGCGCCAGGACGGAGGTTAGTGTGAGCCATTTAGCTGAGGTGTATCAACCTCGAAGGGGAATAGCTCAAAAACAACCTCCTCCAAAATATATTTTCTGAGCTAAGGAAGCCAGAAGAAAATCAGCTTTTTCTAAGAAAAGTCATCCCCCAATGTTGGAGACGGAAGAAGACGCCTCAGGCCTCCCAACCTGTGAGTATCTGCAGCCGGATCTGGGTCAGAGTCGTCAGCGAGGTCTGGTAGAGGACGCAGATGTTGCAGACCTTCTGGACCTCCGCAGAGTCCACACGCTTACCCCCAACAGGCCTGAGAATATTCCGAACTGATGCGGACTTCTGAAACGCGCGCTTCAGGAGGTCTGGCATGGAGAGGAGAAGGAACGTGTGAGCAGACGCTCAGCCATCTGCCCAGTTTCACTCTGTAAAGAGCATTTCGATAACGTGCCTCCTTTATAGCCAGGGCCGGACAGTGGGGCCACTGCTCTGACTCAAGTTATCTCTCTGGGGTAAACTAGAAAAGCATTAACCACAGGCTTTTAGGTGGAACCCAAAGACCTCTTCAGAACATCAGAAGATGTTCCAGAACAAGCCAGGCACATTCGACTCCTACAGGGGATTCCTTTACTTTGCCACCAGACTTCAGAACCCACAAGGGTAAAAATTCGACCGTATTAGGGGATGATGGGTGAAGGCGGGTGGCCTGGTTGATTCCCAGTTCTCTGCACTTTCAGAGGGGAGCAGCATCAACCTCGAGCACTGATACTTGCTTTGGGTTGTGCTCGAAGGTTAGTTTTAAACCTTCTCCCTTACATTTACATCCTGCTGAAGCGACACTGAGCCCTGCTCCCGGGCAGCTGTGACATGGGGCTCTGCACCACACTGGCTGGCAGAAGAAAAGTTACCCGGAACCTGGATATTTGCCACAGGCAGGTGGCGCCACAGAACTCGGTGTCACTGGCATTTCCCGAACTTTTCTCAGAGTGGGCAAGAAACCTTTCCATGGACCCTATGACTGATTCCGCAGTAGGAGCAATGCCAAGGTGGCCTGGCCAGTGACCCGGTGTCCTCTGCATAAGGACCCCCACGTGGGAGACTTTTTCTATGATTAGGAACTCAGAAAGGCTCTACTTCCCTTAAGAAATGAACCTTCTGAGGCATGTGGGTGGCTCAGTCAGTTAAGCGTCTGACTCTTAGTTTGGGCTCAGGTCATCATCTCGCGGTTCATGAGATGGAGCCCCACATCGGGCTCTGCACTGACAGCGCGAAGCCTGCTTGGGATTCTCTCTCTCTTAAATAAATAAACTTAAAAAAACTGGGGGCACCTGGGTGGCGCAGTTGGATAAGTGTCTAACTCTTGGTATTGACTCAGGTTGTGACCTCACGGTCGGTGGGATCAAGTCCCGTGTTGGGCTCTGCACTGACAGTGCAGGGAACTGTGAGATCCCCTCTGCCACTCTATATATGCCCCTCCTGTGATGCTTTTACTCTTTTTCTTTCCATAATAAACTTAAAAAAAATTTTAAATTTAAGAAACGGGCCTTCTTTCTTCCTGCTAGGGAAGAGTGAAGATCCACCCCTTTTCATTTTAGCTACTAGAAATTCAGTAAATAGAGTCCAGAGACAACCACCATGGCCCTTGTGGCACACCCATCTGTGGACACTCTTCTCTATATACGACCTCGGTTTTGTTCACCTACTGCTACTTCCCTGGTCCTTGTTTTCTATTCTGAATTTTCTATTGCTGTTTTTGCTGAATGTGAACTTGGCTTAGGTGGTCTTAAAACCTTGTGGGAGAGAATCCCGAAGCGTCACAGAAACAAGGGGAGAAGGCACACAGGGACAACGGGAGGCGGCCCCGAGCAGGCAGAGAGCCACGAGGTTATTTGACACTTACTCCTTCGCGGAAAAGCCACGTTCTGGATGCCCCGACTGCGTGGGCTGTCCTGGTTCTCAAGCTTCTTGTTCAGGATGTCACTGAAGATCGGATCAGAAGGCACCCCACAGGAACCTGCAGCTGTTTGGTGATCAGGGCATGGACTTCTGGGTCATGCTTCTACGAGAGAGCAGGAGGCGGTGCTGTCATCGTAGGATGGCAGGAAACCGCTCTCAGCCAGCCGAATACCTTCCAGCTTGGAGGGGTAACACAACCTGCCCTACCGACATGGCTACGGCGTGAAGAATCACGAAAGGGCCTAGATGCATAGGCGTAGCCTCTTTGCCTTCTACCACCGCGATGACCTCCGTGCCGCCAACAACATCCCGCCTCGCCCAGAACGCAGGCTCCACCTATATGACCAAAAGCCTCTCTCTGTTCTGACCCACCCATTTACCATTCAGTAAAACCAAAAGCATCTGCCGTCTGCTGCACTGGCCTCTTCTTCACATCCAGCCGCAGAGCTGGCGCGAGTCTGGATCGACCCCCAACCTCCTGAAAGTCGCTCCGCGCGCGCAGCAGCCCTGGCGATCAGACTCACACTCACCATCCGCCTTCATCACCTCCCGGCTTAAGATCCTATGAGGGCTCCCCTGGCTCCCGGCACCACAGTGGAAACAGCCACCACCCATGAGCCTGAGCCAGGCCTGAGAGAACTGAACCCTTCACGTGCCATATATCTCAGCCTAATCCCTCTGAAACAACACACTCCGAGAGACTGTGAAAATCATCCCCGGGTTTCGGGCAAGGAGAGCAGGGTAAAGGGGCTTGTCCAAATCCACTCAGAGCAGACCAGGTTGCCCACTGCTGCCCCAGCCCTCCCTGCCTCCCAGAACATCCTTCCTGAGGCCACAACACACCTGCCCCATTCTGCTCAGGCTGGGCTATCACACTGGGGCCCGTCACGGGCTGGCCATTTGTCTTTTCAACCGGATGGCACTCTGGTAGGAGGAAAAGGGAGACTATCCTGGGATTTCCTCCCCTGGCCCTCACTCTTTGTTTCAAGGACATCTGCCAGGGATCCAGGCAGCTATCTGAACAGGAAAAGAGCCGGAAGCTCTAGCCACCTTCACTCCCAAGACCTGCCTCATCTCAGCCCAGAAGGCTTGTTCTGCTTTCAAATCTGTGATGCTGTTTACTTAATCTCTCTCTTTGAGCCTAGCGCTTTTAACGTTTTTGAGTCCTTTAGTTACAAAATTTTAAATTTATATTCCACCTCTTGAAAAGGATCTGAGGTGACCTCTATCCCCTTTCAGTTACGGGGCTTTCTTAATCACCTCCAAAATATGGCAGTCTAGGGAGTCAGGAAAAGTGATACTGAAAAAGAAAAAATAGGGTTGACAGATAAGGTTCACAATTTACTAAAGAATGAAATACAAAATAAATGATCTCAAAAAAAAACCAACAACAAAAAACTATTGAGTGGCGCCTGGGTGGCTCAGTCAGTTGAGCGCCCGACTCTTGATCTCGGCTCGGGTCACGATCTCACAGGCTGTGGGTTCAAGCCCCACATCGGGCTCTGCACTGATGGTGTCAAGTCTGCTTGGGATTCTCTCTCTCTCCTCCTCTCTCTCTGTCCCTGCCCCACACATGTGCATGCTCTCTCTCAAAATAAATAAACTTAAAAAAAAAACAAAACAAAAAACCTGTTGATATTTACAGGTAAAAAAAAGAAACTGAAGGGACGTTCACACGGTTGTCTCTGGGTAGTAGCACAATGGGATGGTTTTTTTTCTTTTGGTCTTATCTAGATTTTATCCAGTGAATATATATTACTTTTGCAACCAGAAACAAAACAACAGAAGCCGGAAGAAAGATGGAAGGAAGAAGGGGGAGGTGGTGAGAGACAGGCAGGAGACAAGAAAGGCAGTGATTTGCCCTGGGACTTACCCATAGTCCACAGATTGGGAGAACCAGCCGAGGACGGGGTGCCAGTGCGTCAGGTTGGATTTCTTCTGGGACACGTACTTCTGACAGTAGCACAGCATCTGGGTGAGCAAACTCACGAACCCATCCGTCTCTTCCTCTAACACCTTGGGGCTGAGGGAGCCCAACTGCAGAAGGTTGCCTGCAAAGAGAGAAGGCTGAGTGCAAGGAGCCCGGGCAGACCCGCTTCGTCACCTCGCAGCCCCGCTCTCCGCCTGGGGCTCCCGCAGTCACGTCCAGGTGCAGGAAGAAATCCCACGTGGAGAGGCACCTGGCAGCTGGCAGTGCCGGGGCTGCTCCGTGTCGCACCTGGCTTCAAACCCTGGCCCTGCCACAGAGGAGCTGTGCGACCCTCAACTCTCGAATCCGTCTCCTCATCTAGAAGATTGGAATAATGATCCCCACTCTTGCCGTGAGGATGACAGGCAGACTCATACGCAGACGTGTGTGAACTTTAGTTAGCATATAACACTTCAATACGACACTAAAACTTGAGAATCGAGAGTCAATGTAAGAAATGACCTTTGGAAGGACACCTGAATGTCCTAGGAAGTCACTCTTGTTCAGCGTTCACCGAAGTTACTCACCACGAACTCCCTTAAAATTTAGCCCCAAGGACCTTTTTCTCCATTAAAAAAAACCTCTTCTAAGTGATGAGAATTACGCTCTACCCATTCGCTTCTGTCCCTTCTCTACTTACAAGGAAAACGTAAAATAGATGACGAGGCTCTGCTCTGATCTAAACACCACCCAGCTGTGCCCTCCCTTCTCTTTTGAGATGACAATTACCCAGGTGACTCATCCCATTTTCATCCTTCTCTTGGACGCCAGGAAGCTGAGGGCCAAAATTTAACATTTTTCACTCAGCCAGGTTGCCAGCTGGCTATATTTTCCATCAGTTTTCAATTCTACGTGTCTATTTTATGTATCTAACTGCATGTCTTTTATCGTTAGGTACTTCCAAGCGTTACTAAAAACAACTCATGATCCCCAGAACAGTAAAAAGCAAACACACTTGGGCTTCTCCTGATGCCCAGCCACAGATACTCACCCACGAGACAAAGCGTATGGCATCCTTCTAAGCTTTCACATACGTCACGGCATCGATCTTCGTTTCTTAAAAATGTGATGAATTTACGAAGCATGTCATGAGATTCTAAAACGGTGAGGCGCTGCAAACAATTGCAGACTGTCAGAGCGGGAGCCGACAGGAAGAATTTCCCACTGGAGCATGAACTTGGTCGCTTGCACATCAACACCTAGATGCCCAACATGCTCTCAATGGCCAGGAAGAAAATGAACAAAGATGAGGACCTGGCTCTCTCGGCCGCTAACAAGGCCGCTAACAGCTCCTGCCTTAGTAGAAGTGTCAGGAGAAGAGGTGGGAATGAAGGGAGAAAACATTTTACTCTCTAAGAAGAATGGCAAAAATGGACTGGGGGTGGGGAACCAGAGAGCCACTTACCTCAGGGGTCACTGTGCTGAGGTGAGTCACGAGAGCAGGCACAGACATGATGTGGATGAGGAATGGCCGAAGCAGACTGTCTGAAAATTGTGCAGCAATCACAGGGCTAGACACAGACAGATCGCCTTATTCACATGGGTTTGCATGTTGCCCCGGGACCAAAGAACCACTCTGCCAACGCCCCCAACTCCCTTGAAATTACGCCTCACAGGACGTCTAGGAAAACTCAAGGCTGAAAACGGGGACATCTGGTCTCAAAAGATCACACATACGTACTAGATGCTCGGTTTCCCTTGGTGCCCTGTTACGTACACCTCTGCATGAGGTCATCAAAAACCTCCCTTAGGGGCGCCTGGGGGGCTCAGTCAGTTAAGCATCTGACTCTCGGTTTCAGCTCAGGTCATGACCTCATGGTTCGTGAATTCGAGCCCTGTGTCGGGCTCCGTGCCGACAGCACACAGCCTGCTTGGGATTCTCTCTCCCCCTCCTTTTCTCTGTCCCTCCCCCACTCTTTCTCTCTCAAAATAAATAAACTCTAAAAAACAAAACAAAACACTTCCTTTAGCCTCGCAGTTGTTGCACCTGAGCCCCCTTGGGGGACAAATTCTGCAGACGTCCTGCTAGGTCTCAGGATGTGGCCTTATGTGTGGCCTCAGTGTTTGGCATGGCAGGGAAGGATGGTAAAGGAGACGTTCGCTGCACAGTCCCCACCAGTACAGAGTTTACGCTGCAACCAGGGAGCTGGACAGGCACAAGGGAAAAAAACAGAAACCGAGTCTGGGCAAAACGGGGGCCTGGGGAATGAATGGAACAAGGCAAGTTTGAGAAGGTTCCATGTGCCATGGATTCAATATATGTTGCTCTTGGAATACAAAATTGTGCCCAATATGTGAGACAAGAATAAAGAACGAGGAGTAGAGAGTATGGGCTCTGAGGTCAGGATAGCCTGGGTTCAACTCCTGGCCCTGTCACTCCCTGCTGTGTGACCAGGGCCCTGCTCATGCCTTAACCTCTCTGGGCCTTAACTTCTTCATTTATAAAACTAAGATTAGAGAATGTGGTGAGGAGTCAGTTAATGTGGGTATAAATCTTAAAACAATTGTGTGGCCCATGAATGTTGGCTATTTGCATCATAGGATTTAGTGATCACGTCTGAACCTAACGTTTATGATTTTACAGACTTTCAACAGTATATCCTACTGTGACAAAACCACTAGGTATTTTGTTTTAAAAGGTCCTGGCCATGTTCAATTACATTCAAATACTCAGAGAGGGAAAAGGACACTACTTAAGGAAAAGGCTTCAGAGCCGCCTGGCCTTCAGGGTGAGCCAACGGACTCTAACGTACAGAGTGAAAAAATCTAAATGATGGAGGCTACCACATTCTTAAAGGAGAAGGAACATGACGGAATGGCTGGATGTGACCCTCTCGGTGAATCACTCTTGAATTACAACACTCTGGGCGGGGGAGGGACGTTGGAACGGAAGGGAAGACTTCTGTTCTCAGGAGACAGAGGAGGGCGGCAGAGCGGCCCTGTGCCCTGGAGCTCAGGCACCTGCGTGTCAACGATTCCCTGCCTCTGACAAGGGGGAGAGTGGGCGAGGCTGGAACGAACTGCTCCAGAAAGTGACTCAGAGAGAGCAGATACAGGACACCTGCCGCTGGAAAACCTGTTTGCACCTATGTCTTAGGACTCATTAAATACGACTCCTCTCAGAGTCTGAAAGGAAGGTGTGTTTGTTTACTAGATGATCTGGTCTACTTCTGTAACTAATTACAGCATCACTGGCAGACCCCTGCTCCTCTCTCTTAAGGATCTCGCTTCTAGAAATGGGCTGTCCAACGCAGTGGCCAGTAGCCACGTGTGGCTCCCGACCACTTAAAATGTGGTTAGTTCAGATGCAGGTAGGCTTTAAGGGTAAAATACACACCAGGCTTTGAAGACTCAGTATGAAAAGAAATAAATTATTAATTTTTTTAAATGTTTATTATTTCTTTTTGAGAGACAGAGTGCAAGCGGGGGAGGGGCAGAGAGAGAGAGGGAGACCCAGAATCTGAAGCAGCTCCAGGCTCCGAGCTGTTAGCACAGAGCCCGATGCGGGGCTCAAACCCACCAACGGTGAGTTCGTGACCTGAGCCGAAGTCAGACACTTAACTGACTGAGCCACCCAGGTGCCCCAAGTTAATTTTAACTAAAATAAAGAATTTAAAAGACTGACTACATGTAGAAACGATTATATTTTGGATATATCGATTTAAATAATTTCCCCTTATTTCTGGTCTTTTTAAATGTGGTTCTCATTACAGAGAAGGCTGCTCTAGACCAGCCTTGTCCAACAGAACTTTCCGTGATGGTGGAAATGTTTCTTCTTTGTGTGGTCCAATAAGGCTGTCACTGCTCAGTCACACGTAGTCCCGAAGCACCTGAAATGTGGCTAATGCAACCGAGGAACTGAATTCTTTTTTTGTTTTTAATTTTAATTTTAGTTTCAGTTTTAAAGAGAGGGAGAGAGAGAGAATGTGAGCGGGGGGCAGAGGGAGAGAGAGAACCTTAAGCAGGCTCCACACCTAGCATGGAGCCAGATGCAGAGCTCGATCCCATGACTCTGGGATCATGACCTGAGCAGAAATCAAGAGTCAGATGCTCAACCAACTGAGCCACCCAGACGCTGCAAGGAACTGAATTCTTAATTTTAATATATGTCTATTTAAACCCCAGGTGGCTAATGGTTAGTGGAAAGCACAGTCTAGACCAGGAGTGGCAAAAATGGCTCACAGGCCAAATTCTGCCCCTTGCCTATTTTTGCAAATACAGTTTTGTTCAAACATGGCCATTCTCCTCTGTGTACGTATCATCTATAGGTGCTTTGTGCCACACCAGCAGGGTGGTTGTGACCGACACTGCATGGACCACAGAACCGAAAATATGTATTAGCGGGCCCCTTGCAGAAAAAGTTTACCAACCAATCTCTAGACCATCGTTTGCTAACTGGTATTCCACAGGAAAGGAGTCCATGGGACACCAATAGACACGTTCCACCAGTGAAAACTTAGGTGGGGGTATTCAGATGTTTGGGTATTCAGATATGTTTGGGCTGGCACCGGATTAAACAGGCCCAAAGGTTCTTAGACCTTAGGACTTGTCAAGAGCTCTCTGCAGTAAAGTGCCCTGTGGATTAGCAAAGGGGGGCAGGGCAGGGAGCTTTACGTCACTGGTTTGACCATAACACTCCCCCTGCCCAAAGTTATTATTATCTTGGGGATTAAGATGATCAAGTTATCATATTAACATCTCCCCCAAGTCTGTGCTCCTCTCAACAGTTTAAGAAGGTTCTGGACCCAGTCACAGACACAGCTTTGTGCACTTGGTAATTCTCAGAATTGCAGGCATAATTTCTATATGGAAGTACTTAGCTTATGTATTTTGTATCTCCAATCTAAGTGAAGGCAAACAGCACAACCTCCCTGAGCCTCCAAATTCTAACATTTTATTGTATTTTATTTATTTATTTAAGTTTATTTATTTATTTTTGAGAGAGACAAAGACAGTGTGAGTGGGGGAGGGGCAGAGAGAGAGAGAGAGAGAGAGAGAGAGAGAGAGAGAGAGAGAGAGAGAGAGAGAGAGAGAGAGAGAGAGAGAGAGAGAGAGAGAGAGAGAGAGGCAGACAGACACTGAGAGAATCCCAAGCAGGCTTTGCACCATCAGCACAGAGCCCAATGTGGGGTTTGAACTCACTAACCTGTGAGATCACGACCTGAGCTGGAACCATTAGTTGGATGCTTAACTGACTGAGCCACCCAGGCGGCCCAGATTTTAACATTTTAAACCTGGGCTCACAACACTACTCCCTTCACCCTCTACTCTGCCTTTCGCCGGGCCCTTTCCAGCTCAAGGGGTTCTCTATCTTATCAATTAAAAAGCTCAAAAGGAAAAATGCTTGGGTCTTGGGTCCTTGGCACAATGAAAGCAATTCGCTTTGAAAAGCTTCCTTCAAATTGCGATGCAAAAAATTCAGGGGCACAGACAGAAGAGCTGCCACAGATGCACCCTGTCTGTGAACAGAACAGAACAGGCAAGCCCCCACACGTAACATGAGGAACAGGAGGAAGGGAAAGCGAGAGGAGGAAGTTTCCGGAAGCACGCCAGCCCCTCAGCTGGAGTTACTTACCGCAGTGCGAGAGAAAAGGTCGCAGTTAAAGTGCTTTTGGACAGACAAGGCCGGGGTCTTGCCAGGCCACGGGTTAACAGCATCTGAAAAAGAACATTTTAACTGGTCAGGGGCCGATGCCAACCTACAGTCACTTGTACGTAAAAAAGCAGCACAGAAGTAAAATGAATGCTTCAGATAAAAAAAAAAAACAAAAAAACCTGTATTTAGAATGTTTTCCAAAAGTGAAGGGAGAGCAAAGTAAAGGGTATCTCCTTCATTATACCACTGTCTCTCTAAATATTGTGTTTAAATTTTTAAAATAAGAAACAGCCAAAAAAGTTTACAGCCAATAAAAAGACTACCACCCTTAAAATTTCATACGTATGGTACTCCTACATTCTGGCATCCAGTAGAAGATTCCTCACAGAGACATGCTGCTGACGGCACCACCTTCGGCCGTCACACCGCCTCCCAGGGTTCATGTGAGAAGAGGAAACCCGATCAGGAAGGAGCCCATCTCAGCGTCGGGCAGAAGGAAGGGTTCAATCAATGCTACTTCTAAACCCGAGAATTCCAAACCGCTTTTAAACAGCGATTAGAGTTCCGGCATTTATTTCCCCGGGTGTGTGAGCCAGCACAACAGGGGTGGTGTGGACAGAAGGGTGTTTGAGGACACAGCAAGAAAGCTAACTCCAGACTTCACCCAAGAAGGAACCAGAGGGAATCAAATCCTGAGGCCTCCCCTCTCGACTTTAAGTGTCAGCGGCTGGGTCATTTCTGCAGCCAAAGATGTAGCACAACGAAGGGACCCCAGTGCCACCGTCCTCCCTCGACACAGACCACAAGCGACTCAAGGTGGGGGAAGGGACAGGACGCTGAGCATTAAACTCCTCCTGCAAAAAGGCTTCTGTGAAGAGGGCACCAGGTAATGCCAAAATCAGCTGTGAAAATTCAAGTTCAGGTACCGGAGAGGTCACGTGTTCGGGGACGCACTCACAAACCTGCAGCACAGGATAGAATCCATGCTGGTTGAGATGTCCCATTATATTTGCACAGATGTGGTTCATGGCTGGTCGAAGACTCTCCCCTGAATGAAGAAAGACGTGTGAGAGAAAAGGCACTGGCCTGACCGTGAACTGTTTATAGCACACCCCAGGCCCGAGGCCGTCATTTTGGTGGCTTGTTTTCTTACTCCCCTTCAGCCTGGTATCAGGCACAGGGAGAGGATGAACTCCAGAATCCACTCTCCTGGAAGGTCCAGCTCAAGTGTCACCTCTTAGGTGATGGGTCCTATGATCTCCCTCAGCCAGAAGTAATGTCCCCAGCCTCTGAGCACCTGTCGCACCTTTCCTAATTCCCTCCGAGGGCCTAGCACCGTTTGCTCTCTGTGGCCACCGCCTCTCCCCGCTGGGAGACAGACACCCTGGAACTCAAGGCCAGAACTCCCCAAGATTTAAATGCCCCCTCCCCCCCACAGCCCACGTCTTAAAATAACCCCTCTTTTCTGGCCAGGAGCCTTTGCACATAGTTGCCTCTGTTCTCAAAGTCCTCCCCCTTGGCTCTGCGAACCCCAACTCTCCCTCCAGCTGTTCACTCAGACATCACTTCGGCGGGAGAGCCTGAGTCCCAGACACAGGGAGGCAGGGCCTCCCGGATCCGCTCAACGTTCTTGTTTCTCCGTAGTCTTCCTTCTGAGCGCTACGTTTCACACGGTCGTCATGACATGCGTGTGTTCACGTGTAAGTCCTTCCTATATTCGCATATAGTCACAGGTATGGGACTTCCCTTTAGCATTTATCTCCCTCACCAGACTCTCCAGTTCTGTGAAGGGCGGGCTGCACACGGCAGTCTTTGGCACCTGAAGCCCGAGGGCAGCGGCCTTCTCTGTATCTCCAGTGCCCGCACAGAACGTGGCATGGAGAAGGCCATTTGCAGAGCGGATGGACAAAGTGAACGGACAAAACATGGAAGGCTCAGTACGGCATCTGAGGGAGGAGGCAGCTTCATGATGCAAATCTTATGGACAAAATAGAATTATTTGCTGCCCAATGATTGTGACACGAATGACAAGGCTTGAGTGAATATCATCACTTGGAGGCTGAGGTGCTATGGGAGTTTTAAAAAATGAGCTCAGGGGGACTGTGCCTTTAAACGTAAATTCAAAGGAGAGATTAGAACACACAATCCTGAATGTATTCTGGATATTACAATGCTATCTGATGGAAACGTCAAGGGCATCTTCATTGGTATGCTTTCAGGGCCCCCCCTGAGGCTTATGGCAGTGAAAATGCTTCTTAAAAAGGAGAAAAGGTCCCCAAGGTCTCTATGCAAATGCTACTTGGGAAAGATTTTGAAGCCAGTCCCACAGACCTTTTCCGCGGAGGATTTTCCATGTTGAAGTGTCTGTGAAGGTGACAAGCATCGTGAGGTACAGCGTGATGAGTCTGGAGTCCTGTAAGATTTCAGGCTGGAAACAACAGAGACTGAGATGAAGTCGTACGTCCGACAGCGGAGCAGCCACTCACAACTTGCCTGGATGCACTCTGCCACCAATCGGCGAGTCAGGACCGTCCGAGTTTATTCTTTTACTCTCGGGGAATGACCACTTTGGGAGTTCAGGGACAGGGATTCTGGCACACGAATCCTCGAGCACGGAATCTGAAATACTCTCGGGAATGGAGAATGAGAATTCTTGGGAAGCAAGCTGACTGGAGCTGGCCTGCTGTGTACATGGATGGATGGATGTACGGACATACGTTCACTGGAGCAGCAGAGTAGAAATGCAATTGAACGTGACGGGGACTCTGGGCTCAGACTCCCTGCTTGGCCACTGGCTAGATGTGTGAGTTAGGGCAAGCTGCTTACCCTCTCTGTCCCCCAGTTCCTCAGCTGCTGACTATGGGTGGTAACATTGCTTTCTTCATAGGGTTGTGTTAAAAATGAACGGATTAATGTAGACAAAGCACCAAGAACAGGGCCTGACACACAGGTAACTCTATGTAATACTGATTATCATAATCATAATTCATGCTTGCTGCCAGGTCAAGGCCAGGAGAGTCAATCACAAGTGCCCTGAGAGAGATGGCTAGAGATATGGGGGCTCTGGGGACATCTGCTCCATCGCTCAGCTCCCACCTGAGTCAAGCCTCTGCCCCTGAAACCTCTCTCCCAATGTGCGAGGTGAAAATGTCCACTGTTTGCAACCACTCACACCCCTGCCCACCTTCTCATAACACAAGGGTGGGCACAGGACCAGAAGGGCCAGTGGCAGTACCTTCCCCCCTCTTGCCACTGTGACCAGTTTGAGGTGGAGACCAGGACAACACTGGGCCTTTACTGTCCTCTCTGATTCCTAAACTAGTGGGAGAGGCCTCCCTTTTCTCTTTGGTCAAGATAAGAGTGAGGATGTGAGGCCAGAACTACTGTGATTACAACAGGAGAGAACAAAGCGATTCCAAAAGGGAGCAGAGAGGAGAGAAAGGGATGAGGGAGAATCCTAGAAGCTCCTGGCTCTGGTCATCCCTGGCTGCCACATTACAGAGAATATTCTATAAAAAATATTCTCGGGGCACCTGGATGGCTTGGTCGGTTGAGCATCCAACTTCGGCTCAGGTCACAATCTCATGGTTCAGTTTGTGAGTTCAAGCCCCATGCCGGTGTCTCTGCTGTCAGCACAGAACACATCTTAGATCCTCTGTCCCCCCAAAATAAATATTTAAAAAAAATATTCTCCTTCTTGCTTAGCTTGTATGTATTAGGAGCTGCACATGTTGGATTTCTGCACTTGTTTAGTTAAAAAATTTTTTTTAATGTTTGTTTATTTTTGGGAGAAAGAGAGAGAGAGAGAGAGGCAGGCAGGGGAAGTAGGGGAAGTAGCAGAGAGAGAGAGAGAGGGAGACATAGAATCCGAAGCAGGCTCTAGGCTCTGAGCTGTCAGCACAGAGCCTGATGCGGGGCATGAAGTTATGAACCGCAAGATCATGACCTGAGCTGAAGTCAGACGTTTAACTGACGGAGCCACCCAGGTGCCCTGGGTTTCTGCACTTGTAACAAGAAGCCTGACTAGTATAATGTAAATGATAAATTATCTATTATTTCAAAAGAATAAAAAGAAAGGCAACAGATTTCTGGGTGTCAAGACTGTGGTGAGCATAAGCCAATGTTCAGAATGTTATACGTGAAAAGAAGGACTCATACTGATAACGGTTATCTAGCTTGCTCTCTCCTAGAACAGGGGTGCTAATAATTCTTTACTAGACTCTGATAAACTTCCAAAGAAATAACCTATGATGGAATCTTGAGGACTCTCAAGATACACTCTAAAGGCCTCCAATGAGAGGGAATATATTTACAATGAAAAGGATACATTTACAGGTGTCTTGTTCTGTTTTTACCTTGAGCTGCTCAAGAAACTCACAGCAACACCAAAGAATGTGTTTGATCTGTTTAATCCACAGGAGGGTGAGATCCTTGGAAAGAGCCAAGGACACATACCACACCTACAAGCAGGAGAAAGAGAAATGTAATGGGCAGAAACAGGGGCCAAATTACATATGTTCTAGCTACGGGGACAGGACAAGTTCACTAGGTCCAGCGCTGGGGAAGGCAGTGGGAATGATCAGGTGAATAAACAGGGAGTACGACTTATCTGAACACTAAACCCATAGGTAAAATAGCCTAGTGAGGGAATTTACCATCCTAAGAGGTCAGAGGAGAACGCAGTCCTTGGATAATGAAAAGACTAAGAAAACCAGTTGCACTGCGGTAATGTTTTCAATTCATTACTTATTAGGCAGGTGTGTGTGTCCACGTATGCAAAGTCCGACCTAACAAAATCGTAACACTTAGCAGGAACTTTCAGAACCAAAGAGATCGACCTGAGAGCTTGTGGGAGACTTCCCAGCCCCCGTCTTGCTTACCTTGGGTTCGTTCTCAGCATCCATGCTGCTCAGGATGCAGCGACACAACTTCTCAAATCTCTGCGAAGAGGAAGGATGGGGGTTACACGTTTCTGCAAGCCACATTGAAATGGGAAAGTAGCAAGCGTTCCGTGGGTACCTGGCACGTGCAGGACTCACATGACGCCAGATGACTCACGGACGTGATCATATTGAATTCCCCCTTATAGATGTGGAAACTGGGGATCAGAAAGGCCAACGTAAGGTTCTCAAATTGGTGGCCCACAGGCTGGAGGAGCCCTACACGTGGTTTCAGCCAGGGGTGCCTTTGGAAAAAACACAATCAACCCGGCAATCTGGGCCTGTGCTCCTGCGGGCTAGCAGCTGTTCCCTGGGTCGCGCTCTCCCGGTGGCCACTCTGTAAGCACCACAGACACGGACTTTTTCCCCAACCTGTCACGCCATCATTTTTAACTTGAAATGCAAAAGGAAGGAAAGTGGAAACTGGAAACCACGTTACGCTGTCTATACCGGCCCTGGATCCACCCTTCAAAGTGCTATGGCCCCGGGCAGCCACCTCAGCATTCTGGACTAGTTTCCTCCGTCAACAGGGGTCACCTCACGGCACCTGCCTGTCCTCATCTTCCTGCCTGTGTAGTCCTGCCTCTCTCTGGGCTACATGTTCCGCAGGGTTAGAGACCCTGCCCATCTCATTTCCTTCTGGGGCCCCACTGCCTAGAAGAAACTCTGGCACAATGGGATGCTTAGCAGTAATGAACGTCTAACCCCTGGGAGCACAGAGGCCCTCCTCGATGGGACCGTCAGTACTATTACAGACAACTCGCTACTTCCTGGAATCGTTTCTAGGCTGATCATTCTAATCCCCAAAGTGCAACCAGCACGTTTCATTTGGTTTACAGGATTTAAAAGAAATTTCAAATTAGCTACCAATTTTTACAAATGAGAAAAACGAGTACAAGGATCACCAGCATCTCTCTTCAAAATTCACAGCAGTCCACCACCGGCTGGAGCCCAGGACTGGCCGCCCCCCTTCAGTGGCCATGCCACATACCCCATCAACTCCCTCTGATGTCATCATTCCCCATCACCACCACCTCCTGCCAGTTACTGATTATTATTTCTTTTTTGTTAATGTTTATTTATTTTTGAGAGAGCGAGCGAGCGAGCATGAGCAGGGGAGGGGCAGAGAGAGAGGGAAACACAGAACCCGAAGCAGGCTCCAGGCTCTGAGCTGTCAGCACAGCGCCCGATGAGGGGCTCAAACCCACGAACTGTGTGACCATGACCTGAGGCAAAGTTGGATGTTCAACCAACTGAGCCACCCTGGTGCCCCTACTTATTATAATTTGTTGTTTTCTCCTGTAAATGGCTTCTTCCACTCAGTTGCCCAACCTGCCTCACTCCTGTATGCATCTGAGTCGGAGTGCTTGTCATGGTCAATGTAAAAGAATTGTGACGATTCTCAGAAGCACTGGGTGTAATCCCCACAAAACACGTCCCAAGAAAACAAAAAGGGCAGGATGTGGTGGTAACAGAATCTATCTTATAGCGTCACTATAAGGATTAAATGAATTATATTTGCAAAATACTTTCAAAAGACCTGGCAGATGGGTGAGCACAGTGTTCACTATTATTATTTTACCTCATTATCCTCTTTAATTCTGAACAAGAACAGCAGTTTCCTGGCAATCTTAAAAATACAAAGTGCGCTTCTTTTACTGGACTCCACGTCATCGGCTTTAAAAAACTCATCGATCTCTCTCCTAGGAGGGGAAGGAGGCGGAAAGACATTTTAAATTAGGAGCTCACAGCAGCTGGAAGGCTTTTCAAGAACTGTAGGAGAAAACACCATTTTTTCTTGCTATTAACTGGGGACAGGGGACAACGTGCTGAGGATTTCCCAGCACCCACCGGATCTCTCTCTGCAGTCGCCTCCGACACAGGAAACTGCGAACATGGGCCTGGATCTCGACGGCCGCCCGCTCCCGCTCCTTCTGCACCAGCCTTTCCTCCCGAGCCTGACGGGCTCTATCGATGAACCACGCTCTCGAGGTCTGAGAAACGGTGAACATGTTTGCAAGTTTGCACGAACCCTGCAAGGAAAACGGCGAGTGGCTGACGTAGATCATTGAGGAAGAACACACACAGGAAGGGGCTCGCGAGCCAAGGGCGGGCGGGCACGCACTCGGGCAGCAGCAGAGCTACTCAGGACCCTTCAGTTCCCTCCACAGCGGCTAATAGCTCTCCTGGCACAAGTCCCAACTTCCTATCGGCTCTTTTCATGCACCTCATCTAGACCAGCGGTGCTTTTCCCTGCATTAAATAATCACATCTTCTTAAGAGCACAGCATCTGCCACAGGGTGTGGGCTCTGTAATTGTTTAATAGATGAACAAAGCATGAACCGGTTCCATCCATAAAGCTCTAATTCAAACCAGGCATCCTCTAGGTCAAAGATTCCTAGGTATTTGAATTTTCTGGAGCAGTCTAAAGCTGATCAGTCAAATTTATTTTGCAAAGTACAGGCTTGAAGGGAAAAAAAGTCGAACATAATTATTTACCGTCACCATTACTTCATTTCTCTGTTCACTAGACAAATATTTACTGGTATCTACTTTGTGCCCAGCACAAAATAAGCCCTTATTTTTTATTTTATTTTACTTTATTTTTTTGGAAAAAGAGCCATTTTAACGCTAAAAAACCAAACGTGTGAGTCCAAAATGCAAGACAATCTGTTAGGTTGAATACATTCGGTTTTATGTATAACTTACCCGGCTGTCCTTACTGTTCCCATTCTGCCAAGGGCTGATAAGGACTTCGGAGCAGAATCTGTCCATCCACTGACTGGCATGTTTTGGACAGAGGGTCTAAACTGTCCATTACATTTTTATCTAAATCACCAATCACTATCTTTTCCCAAAGATGTGGCTTTGGCTATGCCTAGAGCACACAACATGGGTCCGTGGAGCCTCCCACGCTGAAATGATTTCTTTGGATGCTTGAAAACTTTGTCATTCTATCCCAACTATATAAGCAGTCAAGCCGACAAAATTATTCAAAGGGATTACTCAGAAATCCAGACTTCTGGAAAACAATCCCTTTACCATGTTACCTCCCTCAAAGCAGCGCCCACATGAAAAGATCATCAGGAATAAAAAGCTCATTCAAGGCTCTTTCCATGTCAACATACCGAGAGGCTTCTGTGGTCCCTTTTCAACACGGATTCGCATCTGTTAAACAACATGTGGGTCTCTCATCGGTAATTGTCAAAACAAATGAACAGAGCCCACCTGGTCATAGGAAGGCAGGAAAGAAGGCAGGGGAGAAGAAGGTAGCAGTCTTCTGAATCACTTGTTCTCTCTGCCCAGCAGCAGTCTGAATAGCTCACCTGAGGACCTGCCTGTGACACAGAAACGCCAGGTAATCATTAGTGATGTTGCACAGGACTCACTATGCCGAGGGCAGCTTCTCACTTCAGAGGAGCTTGTCCTTCCTGGCAGAAGCAGAAGGAAAAATCCAGATTCGGGGTTAAGTTTTACAGGCAGGGTATCATATATCTTCCACACTGAATAAAAGTGCCTCTGGTTTAAAACACTAGTATTCTCATTTTTACTTAATGTCTGATTTAATTTTTTAAACGTTTATCCATTTTTGAGAAACAGAGCATGAGCAGGGGAGGGACAGAGAGAGAGGGAGACACAGAATCCGAAGCAGGCTCCAGGTTCTGAGCTGTCAGCACAGGGCCTGATGCGGGGCTCGAACCCACAAACCGTGAGATCATGACCTGAGCTGAAGTGGGATGCTCAACCGACTGAGCCACCCAGGCATCCCTTCATGTTTAAATGTTATAGTGTACCTCCCCAGGCCTTCAGCTAAAAGGGAATAGATTGAAAATAACCCCAAAGAAGCTAATTGAAGCCGCACACACTTTATGGCACTAAGCACGAACAGAGGGGAATGGCATGTTAAGAAGCCATTGAAAGTTATGTGTGGCATTTTTTTAATGAAAAACATTTATGCCTAAGAAATGAAAAACAACATGTAGACAGTGGTTGTTTGGAGGTGGAGGAATGATGGGAAGTTCTGCTTCCTGAACTAGTCCGTTTTCCAAATTCTCTGCAGAAAGCATGCAGTGAGGCAGCACAGCACTGTGAGAGGCACACAGCCTTTCGAGTCACAGCTGGAGCCTGTCTCTAGCTCTGCCATGCAGCCCCCACAGGGAGAGGTCTCAGACCCTTTCTGCCTTAATGAGACAATTTATGTCAAATACCTATCAAGGTGGCTGACAGATTACACAGTAAGTCTAATTGACGTATTCTTTGTACAGATGTGAGAATTTTTTTCTTAACTCTGCGGTATGGGCTCTCATCTGTCTAGTCACTAAGGGCCCTTACGTTCCTCCCCCATTAAATTTTGTCCTATCCCTGGGTGCACTAAGATTCACCAGTCCTGTCACTTGGGCTATGGCCCTGTTTAGATTGGTTAACAGCTTCAAGCTCCAGAGAGCTGCAGAAGACAGGGCCCAAGCCCTGAGCACAATGGTATGATTCTTCCTTAACAGGCAGAGAGTCCCTCATTTGGGGGGGGCGGGGGGAGGATGGGGGGGAAGGGGTGATGAAAAGAAGGAGCCTCTTCTCAATGGAAAAACAGGAGATAGCATATGCAAACTGACAAAGTACCTGAAAGGCTATCTCAAAACTTTCACTTCTCCCAAGCAGCCTCGTAGGATAAGATCTCTTCCTTAAGATTAGCATCCCCTCAGCAATGCTATATGCTGGTTTTGTTTACACCGTATAATAGTCTGTACTTGGCAGTTTTTCTAATTCCTTCTTATTCTCCTCTTCTATCTAAAATCTACCAGTTTATTAATCAAAACACATTATGAAGTCTTTTAAGTGTGTATTCGAAGTAACTGTAATGAAAGATTACACAAACTTTGACTTAATCAAAGAAAGAAAAGGCTGTGTATAGTAGAAAAAAACCTTGGATCATATTGAGTACCCTTGGTTCTTTTTAGTTCTCAGTCTACCTCATTTGGCCAAATTATTTATCCTCTCTAGGCCTCAGATTCCTTATCTGTAAATTGAGGATCATAGTGCCTACCTCCTAGGGGTGCTACAAGAATTAACTGAAATATTTACACTTCTTGTATCCCAATTTAGTCGTCAGGATGCTGTGATTAGGATTAAGTGGGAAAATACTAACAAGGAGTATCTGAAAGCAGATAGCATGTAACTGGGCTTTACTGTAGCATCCAGACTTAAAACCAAAAAACCCCCCAAAAACAAACTTACAATCCAGTTAGGGGAAACAATGATATAGGTGGAAAAATTAGAAACCCAAGAGGTTGGGTTAACCAAAATTACTTAAAAAGCAAAAAGGAAAGTAAGTTGATTAAAGTACCCACTATGTGTCATGTCCCTTCTACATAAGAACAGCAACCCTGTGAGATCACTTAGTATCTCCCATAGTCCATGTTAGACTGCCAGTGATGGGCAGAGCCAAGATTTTAATACTAAGAGACAGGACTCAGACTCTACGTCTGTATTCCCATGATATCTGCTCAACATCAGTCTTCCCTGGATGAGGTCAATTTCCTGGAGAATTATGAAAGAGGCCAGAGAGTATCATCCAAAGGTGAAAGGCCAGAAATATCAACTGCTGAGCCCGACAGGGTTTTCCCCCTCTGATGCCAACAGCTGGACAGGCAGGTGTGGTGACCATCACCATTTAAGGGCGGATCATGAATCAGGCAGTGTACAGATATTTACCCAGTCTGTCTTTTCAACAGCTCTATAAGGTCTCAAATGGTCCAATTTTGAAAGAACAGGCAATAGCACTTAGGCTATTAATAAGAACAGCTATCATTTATTGAAGGCTATTGCCCATCTAGGTGTGTGTTATCATCAATCCCACCTTCACACAGAGCAAATGAAACGTAGAGGGAACGTGACTTGTGAGAGGTCACTAGACTCCTGAATCTGAAGCCACGTCCAACTCCAAAGCAATTATTTAAAGTGAAACCGACAAGACCTGGAGACTGCCCCACTCATGGAACAGCAAAAACAAACAGCTGCACGTGCAAGGCTGTCCACAGGGCTAAGTTAGAGTCAAATTGCGACCAAGTTTTTCTTTATTGAAATCATTAACACCAGCTGCCTCTACAGAGAGAGCTGAATGCCAGGTACCAAAACTTGTATTACAAAGCTCCCTCTGTGAAACGAGCTAATGACTCCGTTTTACAGAGGAAGAAACCGAGGCTCGGAGAGGTGAGGGAACTCACCCAAGGTCACACAGCGAGTATAGGATTTGAACTCCGGTTTGGGGGAGGGACTCCAGAGGCCCAGCATCTTTCCTCGGCATCAACAACAATAACAAACCTTTTTCACCCAGCATTAGCCTGTCTATAAAGGCCTATCGCCCCAGAGCTGAAAAGGGATGGAAACGGCTACGGAGAAACCCCCCGAGCACGAAAGTCAGCCCCCGGCACCCGCCCTCCGACTTGGGGAGGCAGGGACCCGGCCAAAGGGCCACCTCCTTCAAAGTCCCCCCACCACTCGAAAAACACACAACCCTGTTCCCACTCGCTACCCGTAGGCCGTAGACCTTTATCCGCTCGAGGCCCCCGCGCTCCGGGTCGGGGCCGAAGCTACCGCCGCCTCAGCTCAGTGCCCTCGAGCTCTGCCAGACCCGGGGCAGCGTCCGAGGCCCGACCGCCATCTTGCCCCGGGGTGTCCTAGCTCAGAGCTCCGCTGGGATGCAACGATCCAGCTCCAGGAAACGACAGTTCCGCAGAGCTTCTTTACCCGGGAAGAACAACCTCCCTGCATCTTGCCCTCCTTTCTGGAAGCTGAAAAAAAGCAGACCGTTCAAGGGCGGGATAAATTCCTGACCCAGACGAGGGGAGATGCAACCCATCCCAGAGGGGGAGGTTGGAAGGAACGCGAACAACGTCTAGGCTTACGACGGACCCTTTGAGAAGTTGCCCTCTGCGGGGCGGAAGCGGGCTGCGGCAGCGGAAGTTCCCACCCCCGCCCCGCCTCTGCCCCCGGCTTGCGCGAGCTGGGTGTTTCCTGCCTCTTTCAGTCCGGGTTTGGAGACTCCGGCGTCCTCCGACTTTTCATGGTAGGGAGGGCGGTGCCCACTACCTGCGGGCTCTGGGCGGCCGAGAGAGCTCGGCCGAGGCTGAGTAGAGGGGGAAGGGGCCGAGGGGGGCGGTTGCGTTGTGGGCAGTCGCGAAAGGGGAGAGGCGGTTGGGGGATTGGAGGGGGGCGAGGCCGGGGGTGGGGGAAGGGCTCTGGTGGATAATTGTATGTGTGTGTTTGGGGGTGGGAGGGTCCCTGGCTGTTGGGGATCGGGAACGAGCATTTGGACTTGGGAGAGTAGATACGTGTGTGGGTGAGTTCGGTTGTCTGAGTCCTGAGTGCTCATTGGAAGTGGGATTGGTTATCGTGAAGAGAACAAAGAGGGGTCGTCGAAGATGGACGTTGGAGTGGAAAACGAGGACGGGAGGGTGTTGCGAAAGAGAATGGTTAGGTTCTGAGAGAGCGACGTGGGCTTCTTTGGGGGCGGAGCGTTTAGGGTTTTTGGAAATTGTGGCTGGAGCACCTGGGTGTCGGGGAAGGGGCGAAGGGGCTTCCAGGTGCTTCTGAACACGAGGGTTAGTGAAGCGGGTGAAAGAAGTCGAGAGAGCTGGAGGGGAGGGCAGATGTGCATCCAGCGCCTGAAGGAATGCCAGGGGCCTGAGGTCAGGGTGCCTTCGCCACGGAGTCCAGCGCCTTTAACTGGCGCCTTGGTACCTATCTAGTCACTTCCGTTGGGACCCGAAGTGGCCACACCTAAGGAGCTGGGAATGGATGTCAGTCACCCAGCTGTGCGAAAGTTTCTGTTTGCATGTGATCTTTCAAGGGTCTGTTCCTCAAATAGCTCTTTGGCCTTGGCTGGGAATGACTAAAGTCCAGCTAGCTTTTACTTCTTTGCTTGGTCTTTAACTGGAAAATGCAGTCTTTAAAGAAGATAAGTTTCAAGGACCCTGCTGAAGAAGATTTAGCCATTCTGTATCTAACTTTACTCCATTTTATACAAAATAAGGACTACCTGAAGGGGGAAAGGCATTAATTAAACCAGTGGTTCTCAAACTGGTCTCTAGACCAGTAGCAGCAGCAGCATCACCTGGGAACTTGCTAGGAATGGCCAAAATTTCAAGCCCTACCACTGACTACTGAATCAGTGTGGGGGGTTGGGCCCACCAATCTGTTTTAACAAGCCCTACCGGAGATTAGTGATTTCTTGATTTGGACTATGTAACGAAAGGGGCCTGAGTCAGAGGACATGTATAGTTCTGATTATTAATCTTCTCCCCCCAGAACTGGGGTTGGTGATCATCTCTTCCTCACTAGATCCTTGAGAGAAATCGGCCAATAGTTTCTGTGACACACAAAGGAGGAGAATGTAATTCGGCACAACGCTTGGAAATAGCAGTAGCTGCCCTATAAGCAAGTTTTGGATGCAAAATAATGCTGCAGTTATCGGGCCGCCTTAATTTAGTTTGGTGGAAATGGAACAGCAGACTTTCTTGAGTTGTAGCAATGCCTTTAGTTTGGGGGAAATTTTATAATTAGCCTCAAGACAGTGACTTGAGATCAAGCTGGTTAAAGGAACCCCTTAGCCCTGTGGCTCTTAGCTCGGGCCGCACGTTAGAATTACCCGAAGAGCTTCTTAAATACTGCTGAGCTGCCCTTCCTCTACTCTGATTAATTGGCCTGGGGTGAAGCCCAGGCACGGTGCACCCAGGTGACTGTAGTACAGCCAGGGGCTGCGACCTCTTAAGGAAGCTTGAAGGGACAGAAGGGAAACAATGCCAAGGACCAGGTGCCAAGTACTTTAGCATTACCTGAAGGTTATTATGAAGATTATGCCCTTCACTTCATTTTACAGCTTCGGAAACTGAGAGTCAAAAGGCTGGTCTCAACCTCACACCGGAAGTGGTGGAACAGAGCCTGTAGCCTAGGTTCCTCAGACTTTTGATCAAACTTTCCACGTGCCCGTTTCCCCCAGCATACACACACAGGGGACACAGTTCCACAGAGAACTGCGGAGAAAACATCCAAGGGTCAGGGAGTTGGTGCCTTTTTTCCTATTGTACTTGTCTGGGGGGCCTCTTTTCAAGCCAACACTTTTCCCCCTTGGGCTGATTTTTATTTTCTAAGCACATATACAGTTACTTCCTGTCTTTGGCTCCGAAGCTGTGAGATTGGGGCCGGCTTTTGCTTATGATGCTTTGGTTTATTTTTACATGTGGTCAGAATTCACTGGGCCAATAGAACAGGAGGTTGGGGAGCTTCTCCAAGGTGATGAGGTTAATACAGACTAGTTAAGGCATACAGAACTATTTCAAGCGGTGGGTTGTAGTCTTAGCTGCACATTGGAAATACCTAGGGGAGTTAAAAAAAAAAATTCTGTTGCCCAGGCCACGCCCCAGACCAGTTACATCAGAATTTACATGGATAGGACCCTGCTGGGTTTTTTTTTTGTTTGTTTTTTTTTTTTTTTTTGGAGTGGAGAGCCACTGTTCAGAATCAGCCACAGGAGACTTAGGGGAGGTGGGAAAGAGAGAAGCCTTGATTTCCCTAATTGGGTTCAACTTTTCTGATGGAATACAATTGGTAACCAGTACCTCAAGTATGAATTCCATCTTCGTTTCTCACAACCACTTTTGCTGTCTCCTGCCCCACCCTCCCCAACCTCATTAATGATGGAATCAAATCTTTGAAACAAGGGAAAAAGCAGGATCCCAGGAGCAATGGCTGGGGAGTCTTCAGTAGAGAGGTTTGCTGTGAGAGGCTTTTTGTCTGCTGCTTTGTGTCCTTAGCTCGGTGCAGTGTGGGCTCAGGGACCAGAACACAGAACCATTTAGCTAAGGGCCTTTCCTAGTACTGAGGTGACTGACCTTTGGAAGGGTGGGCTCCGGGAAGGTTTGGAGCTTTTTTTCCCGTCTATTCTGGAGTCTCAAGGCTAGATCAGGATGGTTTCTGCCTTTATCTCTTAGTGATTCAGGTGGGTGTCCGTAGAAATGGGCATTGTCTTCAGAGAAGATCATTTGAGACTTTGAGAGCATTTTGAAATAATCATAGTGTGAGTCTTTGGCGTTTGAGTATTTGCTCTGAGCCAGAGACCGTGCTGAGTGCTCTCTGGCATCCCTCACAGCAATCCTGGAGGGAGACACTGCCCTTGTCCCTGTTTCATAGATGGAACTAGACTCCAGTGACTCGCCCACAACTGATCAGTGGCGGGGCTGGGTGCTCAAATTCAGGCGTGATGTCCAAACCCAAGCCCTTAGCCACACATTGCCTCCCATCTATTTTCAAAGCTTTCTTTTTTAATTCGTAAAGAAGTGGGGGGGAGGGGGCTCCTCAATTTACATGTTGTAGCTGTATATATTTCAAGCATGAATGTTGATAAAATCATGGGCTCAAGGCCAGACAGGACTTGCCCATGTCCTTTACTTGCTCTGTCACTGACCCACCGCCAGTACCAATGCATTTTGGGAAGTGACTGAACTTCTCTGGGATGTGGTATCCAAATCTACAAGGTGGAAGTAATGATAGTTGTCTTCCAGCATTGTTTAGATTTTAAATGGTTGTATGTGGTGGTAGAGATGAAAACTGGTATCTTCTGGGAGGGAGGAGTGGGAAAAGGCATAGAGGGGCTTTCTGGAACCATGAAAATGTTGTCTGTCTGGATCCGAGTAGTGGCTATACAGATGCATATATGGGCCCAAACGCATCAAACTGTGCACTTCAAATATGCTTTATGGTGTGAAAATTATCTTTGAAAAGGTATCAGAACGTAAAAGTACACTGCAGTCTGCAGTATACTTAGACTTTTTTTGTCTGTTTCACAGTAGGTGCCTTACAGAATGCCAGATCATTTCCCAAAACACTTATTTTTGTGTAAATTACATCTAAAAAGTTACTTTAAAAAGTATTTCAATTTTGGGCAATTTTCCCTAACTGCCCCCCAGCCTTGCCCCCAAACCCCGCAACTATAAGCCTTCATTCCCCCCACTCCCCGCCGTAGGTCTTTAAAGTTTTTAGAAACTCTTTATTCTCATCAGCTACTTCTATCATCCCATGGACAAGAGTTTTTCTGGGAAGAATGGTTGGTGATAACCATTAGTGGGGGTTTCTGGGGACTGATTTCAAAGGAAAGCTGGAGGGGAGGGGTCCCACAGAGACCCCAGGTGAGTTAAGCTTGAGGTTCTGAAAACGTGCCTTCTTATGATATATTCACCTGATGATGCAGGAATGCTTCTGGAGAAAACACTTTTCTCTCCAGAAGCCCGTTCTTCCTGTCATTCTGCAGGGCCCTGACATGAGTCCTCCAGTGGGTGATTTCCAGGCCATTCTTCTGGGGGGATGGGGGTCGAGAGGGTTGGTCATTGCCTGTGCTATTACCGATTGATGGACAATGGGTTGCCCCTCATTAGTCCCTTCTCCTGTTGAAAAATAACATTTGTATTTTACCCATCATACATGTAATCCATGTTAATTGTGGGAGATCCAGAAAAGATAGAAAGGCATAAAGAATTTTAAGAAATCCTTTTTCAGGATCAGGGTATAGTTTTTTAAAGTTTTGTGCTGTCAAAACCCCCAGGAGTTTTGACTATATGCCAATAGTCAAAGTTGGCTTTCTCTCCTTATTGCCATGAGGGAGAACCACAGAGCATCTCGGAAAGAGGATTGGGGCTTGCCCTGGGTGATTTGGGGGAGGATTCAGGGAAGTAGGGCTTTGCTCGATATTGAATGCTGTCAGGAGGGAGGGTTAATTCTGTGACTGGGTCTCAGTAATTCCTGTTTTGAAGGTGGGAAGAATGGAGTGGGGCTGAAGCTCTAACTGGTAAAGAAGCAGCGGTGAGTTGCCTCAGTCAGGATATGGGGATGTTTGGTCATTTTTGTGTTCGGGGCGACGATTCTTGTTTTTGTCTGTGTTCACGCATAATTATGGGGTAGTCTTGTTTGTGCCTTGATCCATCAGCCACCGAGTGGCCTTGTCAGATGGTGACGTGCTATGAATTGTTCACGTTCAGCGTGAACCTCACGGCCCAGATAGGAGTGCCAGGCCAGGTTCTGGCCGTCAGGCTGCCTCCCCTCTGCTGTCCCCCAGATCGATCAAAGAAGATTCAGCCCACTCTTGGACACCTCCTGCCATAGGCCTTTACCTGTCGAAGAGATGTTTTCTTTGAGTACACGGGTGCCAGGTCCCAGTCTCCTTCCTAGGCCTGCTTAAATCAGCGCAGCCGTTGCTTTGAGATGGACACAAGAACTGGCAGTGCCATTAAGGAGACTGTCATCGGATCTGGCTGTTTTGGGAGGTGCTGGTACAGGAAGTCTCTATTTTGCAATAACTTTATTTCCAAGGGTTTTTAAATATCTGTTTCATCCCCAGAAACACTTCCTCCTCTCCCCCCAGCAGAAAGCGTCAGGAGTGGTAGTTGGGACCCCACTGAATTCATAAAGGCTAATTTCACTTGCAGTTCAGCTGAAAGATAGCACTTTCTGCCATCCAGTGGCGCATGGCAATAAGGAGACCGAGAGAGACCGGGGCAGTGCTTCAAGCTGCTGTCAGATGTGCCCCGGGTGTTCGCTTATATGAGGAACAGGCGGAAAGGAAGTCCGCCCACCTCAACAGTTAGTGGTAAACTCCTGCTCACAGGTTCAGCAGGTGAGGTCAGTATACGAGCTCTCTGGGTGGGGTTTGGGGCAACCAGTACCCCACCTCCCACCAGTTGTTGCCCTGCTGACCTGTTCGGCCTCTAATTTTAAGAGAAGCCAGGAATCCGGATTTTTCTGTGAACTCGCCCGTGTCGTCAACTTTCAGAGCAATCTTGAAGTTTTAAATGCAGTCTATAATTGGGCCAAGCAAAACACACCTGGAGGCCAGTTTCAGCCCACAGGCTGAAAGAGGTAAACCGGGCCGGGTGCTGTGACCCTGGTGACCGTTTGTCTTCTCCACTGGCAGGAAGAGATGTCAGGAGAAAGTGTGGTGAGCTCAGCGGTGCCAGCGGCTGCTACCCGCACCACTTCCTTCAAGGGCACGAGCCCCAGCTCCAAGTACGTAAAGCTGAACGTGGGCGGAGCCCTCTACTACACCACCATGCAGACACTGACCAAGCAGGACACCATGCTGAAAGCCATGTTCAGCGGGCGCATGGAAGTACTCACTGACAGCGAAGGTAAGCCTGCCCCCCAGGTGCTGGGGACGTGCTTGTGGTTGAGGGGTCATTCGAGTTCAGAAGGCCAAAGTTAAATGGCAGTTGTGCTCGGTGTTCTCTCAGTGTGCAGGGGGCCTTGGGAGCGTGTAACCGGGAGAGCAGATGTAGTCCGGGTGGGGCGGGGGGTGTGGTGAAGGAGGGTTTCCCCAAGGAAGTGACATGTAAGTCGAGATGTGAAGGTGGGCTGGGGTCACCTGGGTGGGGACTCACAGTCTTGACTTCGTTGTTGATTGCCTGTGTGACTTTAAGAAAGTCACTTCCCTCCTCCAGGCCACAGCTCTGTGGCTGGACTAGCAGCCCTAGTCGGTCCCCTGCCAGTTCTCAAGCGATGATTCTGTGACTTCAGAGTGAAACTCCAGTGTGGGAGAGGCATGAATGTGTTCTGTGGACCCTTGTCTTCCTGGGATGGGGGCCTGACAAAGACAGAACTGGATTTAGGATCTTGTGATCCTAACGAGGTGATTTAACCTGTTCTCGTTTCCCCATTAGTGATACCCACCTCATGGGGCTGTTGGTGCATGGTATTCAATAGATATATATTCCGTGCGTGTTTCGTCTTCTTTTTACCTTTTTCTCATGGAAAGTCACGTTGGTAAAAGGGAAAGAATTCTTTTTTTTTCTTAAATTTTTTTTAATGTTTGTTTATTTTAGAGAGAGAGAGACAGAGCATGGGCAGGGGAGGGGCAGAGAGAG